CCCCAAAACCCCAAAACCCCAAAACCCCAAAACCCCAAAACCCCAAAACCCCTATTTTTGAGGATAAAATTGAAGATTACTTAAAGCTCCTCAGATATTATTGGAGATGGAGGAGCTTTAGTGGCTGAAACTGTAGAGTCATTAGGTCTTTGAACAAACATACCTTTCATTTCCTTTGCTCTTTTACTCATTTGTTCATTTTCTTTCAGTTTCTCTTGAATACTTGATTTTAACTCTATTATCTCCTTGTCAATGTCAATGTTGACCTTCTTTTGAGCTTTTACCTTCATCTTAATTTGGGTAAGCTTATTGTTGGCTATTCTCTTGATTATTTTCTTTTTCTGAATATCTGAGATCATTCTGTCTTCTTTCGTCACCTCAGACTCATCAGGCGTTTGGGTGTTACTAGTAAGTGCTATTCTTTTATCGACTAAGGATCTGTATTCCGTATTGACACTTCTTAGTTGTTTCATTGCAATTTCATAGTTAGCTTCATTTTCCTTACTTTCTTGCTCAAGCTGGGCGACAATCTCCTTCTCTTGTTGGAGACTGCTATTTTAGGGTGATGACTTTTAAGTTCTTTTCTCCGTTTCCTTTAGCGATTTCTTCATAAGCTCTGGTTCTGTTTTGGTTCTGCCTCTTGATCGACTGGATCTGATTTTCTTCAAGTTCTTTAATCTCTTTATTAAGTATCTTGATCTCGTCTTTAATCTCTTTGGTCTTGTAGTCCTCTTTCTTGCGGGGGTATTTTAGCTTCATGATTGCTTTCTGGTATTTGTTAATCTCTTTAAGCTTGCTCTTTAACTCTTCATCTTCAGGCTCCTTCCTATGAGTATTAATCTGCTTCCTTAAAGATGCTGCCTTTTCGATAGCATTTTCGACGATGAAGGAGAGATGGTTCACTTTGTCTCGAAGGATCTTGTTGGAGTTTACTAGCCCTGAAAGCTCATCATCTTCCTCAAGGACTTCATCAGGGAGGTTTGAGTCGATGTATTCAATTTCTTGGTCAATTTCATCAAGGCCTTCTCTGATTTGTTTGTTCTTGCTAGTATTTCCGGTACTATTAAGTATGATTAGAGGATAAATCTCTCAGTTATTGAAAGGTTTCGGAAACAAGGGAGGATTGTAAAACAATTCGTTATTATTGCTAGAAATCTATACCTTTTGTTAGTCTTGCTCCGTATGCTTGAAGCTCTATTATTGATAGAGCTTTCTGGGCCATGCTTTCCCCCTAAATCTTTGTTTAGCTCATTAGAGAGTTTATTTAGGAGTCCCAGCTTTGTATTCCTTGGTTATTTCTGGTTGCGGTTGTTTCTTTTCTCTAAGTTTTGGCTCGATTGTTAAAGCTTTAGCTTTAGGGTTTTCTCCTTTATTGAACACTACACAAGAGTTATTTTCAATTATATCAGAAGTAAACTAATTGCGTAATTTATCTTACTGTCATTTACTGTTTCAGAGTCCTGAGGTATTGGATTATGATTATGTTTTGACATTGCTACAAAATAATTTTAATTCCATTTTTAATTTATTTTTCGGGGTTTTGGGGTTTTGGGGTTTTGGGGTTTTGGGG